TGTGTGTGTGTGTGTGTGTGTGTGTGTGTGTGTGTGTGTGTGTGTGTGTATACCACATCTTCTTTATCCATTCACCTGTCAATGGACATCTTGGCTCTTTCCACAGTTTGGCTATTGTGGACATTGCTTCTAAGCGTATTTAAATAGCTGCTTTGCAGTCTTTTTCCACTAAGTCCTATGTCGGAGGACACTCAGACATAGCCCCTATTAACTGCATTTTTCCTGTGTATGGATCATGCTTTCTGGTTTCTTTGGATGCCCCTAACTTTTTTGTTGTTGAATACTGGACATATAATATAGGATAGCAACTTTGGATTCTGACTTTTCCCAGAGCACTGTTGTTGGTATTGCTGTTTTGCTTGTTTAGTAATTTGCCTGGACTAAGTCTATGAAATTAGTCTCCCATATAAGGTACAGTTGCTGATGTCCTTTACTCAGTTTTTTTTTCTTTTTATTTTTAAGCTTTTTCTGGCTTTCTAAAAGTCATCCCCATTTCTGCATAGCTTAGTGTTCTAGCAAAAACTAGTCAGAGGTTTTGTTCAAACACCTTCAGCCAGAAAGGCTTCTTCTCTCTGCTTCTGACTGTGTGTGGGCTAGGGAGCACACTCAAACTTCAGGCTGAAGTTTTTCATGCCTGCCCCAGCTTTTGCTGGCTCTCTCCCATCTCCTGTGTGTGCATGCAGGCTCTGCTGGCCAGGGACATGTGGGTGTTTTGGGCACACTCCCATCTCCGCTGCTCGTGCACACAGACTACGGTCAATCTGGGACACATGGAGAGCTATCAAGCCCCTGCTTGCTGTCTCATCTCCCTGAACTCCCTATTAAGTGCTCAGCTAGACCACTGGTCCATTGCTTGCCCCAAAGAGGACTGGAAACTCAAGACAGTGGAGTCACTGGCTCTTACCGATTTACCACTAACATGGCCGTTTTAACTAAAAATACTCCAAATAGAGTATTCTGGAAGCGGCAGCAAGCCTGCTGGTTTTCACAGCCTGCCCTGCTCTGGTTGAGATATCACACGGACAGAGCTGAGGAGGAGGGAATGAGAATGACCTTAGGTAAGACTGCCACAGGCTCACGTTGCTCCTACCCAGAGTTCTGCAGTTTTCAGGAACAAATGCTTGCTTTCTCAGTTTGTTGTATGCCTTTGGTCAATTTTTAGAGAGCTGAAATGGATATTTTTGACAGTCTTTTTCCAGCTTTCCAGTTACTTTCTGGGAGGAGGATTTGTCAACCTCCTCATTCCGTCACGCTGGAAGTCTGTATCTCAGCCACTCTTTACATTTTACTGTAATTAGAATTATTAATGCTATTAAAAAGCAGACCTATGGAGGTGAAAATATTACTGTGAAATGTTGTTTTTGAAGAAAAATGTTTGGTTTTGTTTTCTGGGAAAAAAATCAACCAACAAACAGAGATGACTCGAGGTACGACCTTAAATGATTATTTCATTAGGTTAAATTCAGAAATCTCATTTCTTGGGGCGCCTGGGTGGCTCAGTCAGTTAAGCGTCTGCCTTCAGCTCAGGTCATGATCCCAGGGTCCTGGGGTCGCGTCCCAGCAGGGAGCCTGCTTCTCTCTCTCCCTCTGCCTGCCACTCCGCCTGCTTGTGCTCTCTCTCTCTTTCTGACAAATAAAATCTTAAAAAAAAAAAAAAGAAAGAAAGAAATCTCGTTTCTCTGAAGCAGCACATAGGGCCTTGCAACTCAACTCTTTCACAGGCACAAGAGAAATGAAAGGCTCCGCTAGAAAAAAGTTAGTCCCAAAGCATTTCAGTCACGACTGAGCATGCCACAGCTGCTTTTTCTGCTCCTTATTTTCCTACCTCTCTATCTTATGCCTCAACCATGATCATCAGATATGCAACGGGCATTCTTATAATAGTCTGTTTTCTGAAGGCTTCATCAAAGTCCTCCTACCTGGCCATTTGTCTCTTCTCCTTTCTCCACCACCCCTGACAGACTTGGGCTCTGGGCACCCTCACAGCCCCGAGGAAGGAAGAGAAGACCTGCCCCATGTACCCAGGAATCCAGTCTCATGGAACTGGAGAAGACTGAAGAGATTTCTGGAGGCCAAACCTCTCATGTTCAGATGGGAAAATTAAGGCTCAGGCAAGTTAAGGGGATTATCCCTTCCAGGAGTGTGATAAAGATTACGTCATGCTGATAAAATCGGCAGAGGACCACAGAAATTGTCATCATTGAAGGATCAAGGCTCGGGGCCCATGACTGGAAATGACTTCATGAAGATCAGACCTGACATTACACATGCTCCAAAAACATTGGACATGAAGACTCCTGAGACTGATTTTTCCCCACTCCTTCACTCTTTCTTACCTTAGCAAAGAAAATCCAGGCTGCACACTGCCCTGGGGCCATAAGGCTTTTCAGCTTCACTGTGCTGAGCATGAGAAAGAATCCTAACAATCCGCTGGAAGGAGAAAATATTCTTTTGTTAGTGAGGCTTGTCTTCCTTTTAAGCAATAGCTATTTTCTCTTACATTTTACCAGTTTCTAATTATTACAGAACCTTGTATCTCATCTGGGTTTTCTAGTGATCTCTGGATTTAAAAACCCAGGAAGCTCTAATTTTCTAAGGAGCTATGATAAGAGTTCCACTGGGTAGCGGGCCCTGGGGGAGGGAGTATAGAAACTTGGGAAGTCTCTGACTAAATCATGAAAGAAAAAAAGTGTGGAGGACAATACCTCCTGCTCCCTCCCATATTATTTCTGGAGCTTGGTGCTTGCCAAGGTAGAACTTCAACTTTTTTCAAGCAGAACAAACTGCCAGAAAAAGACTTCCAAAGCGAAACTCACCATATGGGGACAAAGGGTCTGGACTGACTCCTGGGTTCAAGGTAAGAATCTGAAGGGGGCGGCTGGCTCCAGGAGCAGATGTCCCCCAAACCAGGCTGAGCTACACAGCTGTTATGCTTTGGGAATGATGCCTAAGCCCATGTGTGTGACCTGAGAGACCACGCCCCATGGGGAGTCCTAGCGATCTGGAGCAGCAAGGCACTGGCATAGGAGTGGACAGGGAAGTAGTGGTCTATGCTGGAACTATTTCTGAAAGCATCACTGTGTGGTCAAGGACAAAGCGAAGGGCACTCCAACAGAATGGTCACTCCTCCTTGCATTTGGAGGCTGGGCAATTGGGAGAGAATCCATGATAGAGGTTGACTGCTTGTCAAGCGGGGGCTTGAGTGTGACCTACTAGAAACTGAAAAGCAAGAGATATGACTGCAGTTGTACCCCAAACCACAGAGGCAGGTCCTATGAGCTGTAGCTCATTTGTACCTCCAGGGTCTCAAGTGCCACCCTGTCATCTCACCTTTATTACAGGCACTGCTGTGGGGCCCCAACTCAGATCATGAGCTCTGAGAGGGCAGGGCCCAATCTTGGGCTTCTCTGTGTTGTCCCCAACGGAGCCAAACATGGTGCCTTGGTCACGGTAGGTATGACATAAATATTTGACAGGTTTACTGAGAAGCAGGTTGGATTGAGTTAAACAGCTGTAAGGCCAAATTTCACAGAAATGTGTGCCTTCGCTTCATTAGATTAGGTTAGTTCACAGCCACATTCTTGGGGCAGGACCAAGGACAGGGATGAGGGATCCCTTGCATATCTTTCAGCCTGTTGGACCCTGATATCCTGCAAAGTTTGTTCAGATTTGCATCTGTAGTCATGGGAGGCTGGGCGGCTACGGATGAAGACAGTCAGTCATTCACACCCAAAAGGCAAGGAGGTCCAGTGGGTAAGCAGCAGGCTGGAAACTGAGTGACCTGGGTTGTGCCCACTGACCCTCGTGACCTTGACTCATCCCCCCTTTTGACCCTTTTTGTCTTGCCTCAGGTTCTGTGTTGTTAAAGCAGGAATATGCATAGTGGTCCTCATCCTATCTTAATGGAAATCAGAGACTTTCAGAACGGAAAGCCTCCCTAGCCCCAAATCTCACTTTATTAACAAGCAAACTGAGGAGCAGGCACAATCAGAATCCAGGTGTCCTGGTTCTTTCAAAGGTTCTCCACAGTGAAGATACCTTCTTGACCCAACAAAGACTGAGTGTCATGCTGCAGGTGCCCGCAGCCACTGCGAGGTTGGGAGCAGAAAGTAAGGTGGCCGGCGCTCCAGAGCTCCTGCTGGTGGCATCCACCCCTGCCTCCAGGGAGGTAACAACTTTGTAGGTGCCTGTGCTGCCTCCCATACCCCCTCCCCTCCGATCCCCCCCCACCTCCAGCCAGAGGAAGGGCATGATTCCATGTCCCCTTTCCCCTCAGCACAGACTCTGCTAGAACAGAGCCGCTCCCAGTCTGTGCCCAACACACTTGGGAAAGCATCCATGACTCCTTCCCATCCCTTTACTGGTATGTCTTTGAATCGTTTCCAAATTACTCACGGGTCCCTCTCTTTCTCCTTCCACACTCAGCTCTTCTACCCCTCGCTGTGGAGGCAGACCTTAAAAGCAATGGGAGGATCCCAGAAGTAAAAGAGCCCGGGTTCCCCGTTAATGTTTCTCGGGGTCATGGCTACCACCGTCCCCTCGGGCCTCCATGACTCCTTCTGAGTTCCTCCAGGGCCTCTGAAGGTGACAACACTTAGTCTGAGATATGGCCGTGGAGGAATCATGAGATGATGTGGGGAAAACGGATACATTCTTAAAAGAGGTCAAGCTTCATACTGCAGCCGGGGGTTGGGGGTGGGTAGAACGTAAGAGATTCCTAGCAATTCAAGCAACAATTGCCAAATCTTTAAAGTATAAAACCCTGATTTTTCATGCTGGGTTGCAAGAAAGTTGCAGATTAAAAGGGGCAGAAATGTAGCTAGACTATCGCCCCAAAAAGCCAGCATCAACGGGCTATGAACTATGGTCTCTGTTTCAAAGAACTGAGCGACGATTGTACTCCCCTCCGCACCGTGTTTGCTGGTGCTGCCAAAAAGCCTGACCCAAAGGGAAACAAGTCCACGGACACCAGAGGAGCACTAACACTCATGCCACCCGAGCCTAGCTAATGGGCAGCCCACAAGGCCTGACCAAACTGACAGGAACTGGGAAGACGAATTCTGTCAGTATCCTCCCGAAAGTTAGCTGAGGATGATAAGTGCCATTCTGAGGCTCCAATGCAAAAGCAAACTGTACAATATTGATTTTTTTTTTGTCCTAACACACCCCTATCAGAAACAGTTCAGAGCCACACACCAGCTTTTTGACTGTAAAGAACCACTGCCCCACAAGGTACCACCTTTTATGTGCGGGAAGAAGTGGTCTGGCTTAGCAATGGCTCATGGTCTGTGGACATTTTAGTTAATTATAGTCAAACGGAGCAGATAATAGTAATGGCCATCATTTACTAGGCCAGGCGAGATGCTTGGAGCTTACACACGTTATTTAGTATACGTGATCAGCCGGGAGGGGTATTATCTTTCCACTTTACAGATGAGGAAACTCGACTAAAGCTCGGGAGAACCAGGATAGCTTGCCCAAAGAACCAACACATTAGCAAGCAGCAAGGCTTGCACTCAACCCAAGACTGGGCTGATAGGGTGGGAAACCCTATCAGAACACACACCTCGAGACTATCACAGAAGCCTTTCCACTTCTCAGCACGAGAAAGTCAAGCAACGTGGGAATCATGGCTAGAAAGGAGTAGAGGGTGGGTCTGCACTCTATGTATATGTACCCATCTTATTGGTCTCGGTACCTCCCAAGGCCCCGTAGTAAAGGTCACTTTGTTGTCTAGATGTCGCCTAGTCACTGGTTTCCAAAACCTGTTTCTCAGGGCCTCAGGATTTAGTCAAGGTTTTTGGGAGGGCGCCCTTTAGCGACAAAGCAGGGGCCAAGGAGGAAGCTGAACGGGTGCAATTCTGGACCCAAATCTTCCCTTGAACTGAACCTGATGCATCATTTTATACACTGAAGTTCTGTTTAGGAATGGCTTGTGGAGAGAAAAACAGTGCAGGGTTCTTGGCTCTTCTGCCCTTTCCAAAGAACTTCTGTAGGACACAGGTCCCCCAGGCCCCAGGCCAGCCCTGAGCACCTAAGGATGTGGATGACAACCCGTGGATGGTCGAGGGAGCAGCTTCCTGGCCCGGCCACCACTCTCTTCTGCCCTCATCTGGATAACCAACCGGCAGTGACCCTGGAGTTGATGAAGACAGACAAATTAATAGGGCCAGGGGTTTATGGGTTAAGCTTACCTGGCACAGCAGCTGCCATGGAATCTGTAGAAATACAGGAATGGGAAGTCCGGGACACTGATGAGATCACCTAAGGGGCATAGCAACGGTGAGACAATGGGTCCCCACACGCCCCATCCCCAGCGGCCCAGGGAAACACAGGCGAGGGTCTTTAGCACAGCCATCTGAGCACTGAGCTGCCCGGCAATGAATTCCCTCTGCCATCCCCAGGATTTCTGTGTTAGCGGCATCATTTTAAAATAATAGGGTGATGATCCATAATGCCCAGTTAGCGAGAATCTGCCCTGCACAGGGCCCTACGCTAAAAGCTCTATGTACGACATCTCTTTCAGTCCTTGTAATAACTCTCTGGTGTTTTAGTATCCCCATTTAACTGGTGCTCAGAGAAGTTAAAGGATGTGTCTAGGATTGCACAACTCTTGAGCTGGGAAGCCGGAATGTACACGCCCCAGTCACTCCAAACCCTACAATCTTTCCTCATCACCCGGCAGCCATCCCTGCCCAAGGCGGAGTGTAGGAAAAAAAGAATCTTTTTTTTTTTAAACATTATTCTATTCTTTTCTGCTTTATGTCTAAAAAAAGATTGTGAATGCATGTCTCTGACATCTTTTTTTCATTTGGTGTTTAATTACTGCACAAATGGCGCAGGGGCCAGACCGACCAAGCTTACTCATTTGGGTTTAAGGTCCAAAGGGTACATTTATTTCTAGTGAAGTAAATTCATTCTTTTAGTTCCACTTGGTGCAAGAGGAAATAATCACACATATTGGCTGCTTCCCTCTCTGGAATTTGAACTTGGTCACAAACAAGAAGTCAGGAGATTAAAAAAGCAGAAAGCCTTCCAAAAATGTCCAGAGAAAAGGAATTAAGCATTTCCACAGCAGATAGCCTAATCCTCCCAAATCTGGAGTTTCTGAGACTCAGGAGGAGCCAGACCTTCGGACCCCCAGGCCTCAGTCTGTCTCCCAGATCCGGATGGACCGGAGCAAGAAAGGCTGATCTTCCTAAGTTATAGGGACTCACAGTGTGCTACCTGCATGTGCAACATACAGTTGGTAATTCCTTCATCACTGCACTTATAATGAAGAGGGTTAGAACAAGACACAACGGGCTGCTACCCTTCCTCAGAGACCGAACTGATTTCAATTAATTCAACCACCTCTTGGGAAGGAAAGGCCTGAATTTCATCTCCTTAGAGGGTTTTTTTTTTTTTATCACGACTATTGTTTTGTTTTGTTTCGTTTGTGCATATGTGCGTGTGCTTAACTACAAAGGGGGAGGGTCTCTTGGGATCTGGTTTTCGTGCAGCCCAACCAGAGGTTCAGAGCTCTCGCTTTCTTCCTGCCACGACTCCCCTGACCGCTTCCACTGTCTACGCGGGCCGGCACTGGTGGAGGGGTTTTGCAAATGACATCATCAGGCTCAGTGCGGGAAGAGCATGATTTCTGCGGGAGGCCCTTTCCGCACAGAAGTGACAGTGAGGTAACCCGGGGGCATCCCAGCCCCAGAGGGCGACCAGAGCCGCCCCCCCATGCAGGTGGGCAAAGTGACAGTCCATGCAGGGTTTCGCCCTCTCTGGCCGCTGTGGTTCTTGGCCCCCTTCCAGTGTCCCTCTCAGTGCGAGGGCACTGGCCGTACAGGCCGTGTGGTGAGGAGGAAGGGCAGAGAGGAGATGAGCTAAGTGCAGGACCTCGAGATTCCTCGGGCGCTGCTCCTCTCTGCACCCAGGCTCTCATCAGAACAGGGTTCGCGGGGCACTGGCAGCCTTCCCAGCCCAGCGTGGGCTGCAGGGGGGGGGGGCTCTGACGAGCCATGGGGTGGTGTGAGGCGGGCTGGAAGGCAGGAAGATGAAGGAAAAACATCACGGTCCTAGGGAATTTACCGGTTACGTGATCACCTTCACCGAAACCCTGAAAACGGAGCCTATAAATTCCTGACAGAGAGAACGGCTCACCATTTATCTTTGAGCCATTTCTAAGCCTACACGTTTCCCACACAGTACTTAGTTGACGCTATGCCTGTCTCTCCTTGTGTAACCACCAAGTCCCTGAGCGGAGGGACTCTGCCTCACTCATCTCATATCCAGGGCGTTGGGATCACCCCCGGCATAGGCTAAACCAGCAGTATACCTGAAAGCACCTAAATCTTCTTGCTTCCCCTGCAGAGAACATTCCCCTTTCCAGCTGGCTCTGCTGGTCCTTCATTTCAAATGTGCCCCAAATGCTTCCCCTCTGATGCTGGCAGCCTGGCTCCTCTCTTCCCCCAGTTCTTCAATAAGGAGGGTGCACGCCAACCTCTACCCGGCAGAGGTTAATGACCATACAACCGATGGCCCCGATGACAAGGCAGCGTGTGACTGGCTGGCCCAAACCCGTGAGAACTCAGTCCAAGAACCTGAAAAATTGGTAAGGGTGCTGAGAAGACAATGCTCCTGCACCAGCTATCAGGGAATGCACAATTTCAGCACAAATTACGTAGCCCAACAGTCGTGAATGTGTTTTGTGGCAGCAACACGCAGCCTTCTACAACACAGTCCTCATTAGGCCTTTGCTTTTCTCTTCAGTTTTTACTTAAATTGCAGTTAGTTAAGACACAGTGTCATATTCGTTTCGGGTGGACAGACAGTGATTGGACACTTCCAGGCATCACCCGGTGCTCATCACAGCATGACCCTTTCTGCTGACATTTCTGAGTGAGGGAGTGAATCCAATTTCTCTGAAGATCAAGGCATGAAATTCCCACGGTGAAGAGTGTGGTCCAATCTTACCACATTCAAGACTAACTGATATCTGAACATAAAGAAAACTTCCTCTCACCAGATTTTAGCCCTGGGAACCAGCAGGAAAATGGAAGGTCAGTTCCAAGAAGTAATCAGCGCTACTTCTTTGTCTCACACATGAGTACACACCAGGTGACATGGTCATTTCTGGGTCCAGTTCCTGTGGGTCCCTCTGCTCGCTGGGTCCCTGAAATTCTCCCTCTTGAACACACAACAGAGGGGGCCTGATACAAAGATGAAATGCAAACTTGCAAACAGAGGAAGAATTTCTCTTCTCTACTAGTGCTTAAAATGGTCCAAGGGGAAGCAAGGTTCCAAGGTTCTTGAAGCCTCTGTGTGAATCATGAGGTTGAACAAGAGGGGGAGGTAGATTCCATCCACCAAGGAGCAAATGCAGTGCTCGAAGAGGGAAATGTGGCAGGGTCTGCACTCAGGATAAAGAGAACTATCTACCTGATCCTTACCACCATCTCCCAATGCACTCCCAAGCCTGGGACCCAAAGGGCCATATCTGCCTCTACAGAAACACTTATCTTTCTAGTCACTCAGGAATAGTGAGAAGGGCAGCTTGGTCAAGAGCACTATCAAGAAACCATGCAGACTAGCTAAAATAAGACTGAACACCAAGGGCGCCTGGGTGGCTCAGTTGGTTAAGCGACTGCCTTCGGCTCAGGTCACGATCCTAGAGTCCCGGGATCGAGTCCCACATCAGGCTCCCTGCTCAGCAGGGAGTCTGCTTCTCCCTCTGACCCTCTTCCCTCTCGTGCTCTCTATCTCTCATTCTCTCTCTCTCAAATAAAAATCTTAAAAAAAAAAAAAAGACTGAACATCAAATGTTAGTAACAATGTGGAGGAACTGGAACTCTCAGACATTGCTGAGTAGGAATGTAAAATGGTACAAACGCTTTAGGAAACTGGCACTTTCTTAAAAGTTAAATGTACATCTATTCTAAGACACAGAAATTCTATTCCTAGGGTATTCATCCATGAGACATGAAAACCTAAGTCCACAAAAAATTCTTGTATAAGAATGTTCGTGGGGGGGAGGCACCTGGCTGGCTCAGTTGGTAAAGTGTGTGACTCTTTTTTTTTTTTTTTTAAGATTTTATTCATTTATTTGACGGAGAGAGACAGTGAGAGAGAGAGAGTAGGGGGAGTGGGAGAGGGAGAAGCAGGCTTCCACCGAGCATGGAGCCCAATATGGGGCTCAATCCCAGGACCCTGGGATCATGACCTGAGCCGAAGGCAGACGCTTAACCGACTGAGCCACCCAGGCGCCCCTAAAGTGTGTGACTCTTGATCTCAGGGTTATAGGTTCGAGCCCCATATTGGGTGTATAGATTACGTAAAAATAAAATCTTTAAAAAGAAATTTAAAAAAGAACATTCATGGAAGCTTTATTCATAACAGCTAAAAACTGGAAAAAGTGCAAGTGAACATCAGCAGGTGAATGGATAAACAAAAGGTGGTATGTTCAGACGCTAGCACCCTACTCAGTAATAGAAGGGAATCAATTAGTGAAACAGACAACAACCTGGATGAATCTCAGAACACTACACTGAATGAAGAGCCAGACACAAAGGAACACTTGCTGTGTGCTTCCACTTATACGAGGCTCTAGGATAAACAGAATTTAACTATGGTAACAGAAATCAGATCTGTGGTGGCTTTGGTGGTGGATGAGAAGTGAATAATGAGAAAGGGGCATGACGAAACTTTCTATAGTGACAGAAATGGTCTGTATCTTCAAGGCAGTGTAAGCTACACAGGTGTATACCTTTGTCAAAATTGATCAAGCCATACACATAAGATAGGTGCAATTCATATACATAAATTATACCTCAATAATTTTTTTTTGAGAGAGAGAGTGTGCACATGCAAGCGGGGGTGGGGGGGGAGAAGGGGCAGAGTGAGAGGTAGAAAGAGAATCTTAAGCTGACTCCATGCTCAGCGTGGAGTCTGACATGGAGCTCGATCTCACGACCCTGAGATCATGACCTGAGCTGAAATCAAGAGTTGGACACTTGGGGCACCTGGGTGGCTCAGTCAGTTAAGCGTCTGCCTTTGGCTCAGGTCATGATCCCAGGGTCCTGAGATCAAGTCCCCCATCAGGCTCCCTGCTCAGCGGGGGCCTGCTTCTCTATCTGCCTACCGTTCCCCCTGCTGTGCTCTCTCCTCTCTCTCTCTCTCTCACAAATAAATAAAATCTTAAAAAAAAAAAAAGAGTTGGATACTTAACCAACTGAGCCACCCAGGCACCCCTATTCCTCAATTTTTTAATGTTTTAAAAG